TGTTATGTGCATTCCAACTAAATGTGTCAGGCACATTCTAGCCGCTGGGAGGGAGTTGGCTTTTACCATAACCCTGTTAGGGTTTCTTCCATCATGGGTATTTCGTTCTTGTTTGAAGATTCCATATAACAATGATGATAAGCTACTAGTTGCCTTGGTGGATCCCATTTACTTAGGACATGTTCACCCATCCTTTTAACTTCTGCAAATGCAATCTTTATTTTAAAAAGAAATAAAATCATTAAGATATTTGGACATTAAATATCATCTTATTTTATTTTTCATTTTTATTTGGTACCTTGTCCGCCCAAAAGGCCAAAACCATTGAACTCTTCATGAATTTTGGTGCATTCAGAGGATTGGTTTTTGGAGAAATGTTGGTCTGAGAATCAAATACCAAAGTATGATAACTGAAATCTTAAATGTGCCAAATTTCATACGTTTCAACATATTCAGAATATGGGTGTGTTTATTTTCAGGGTGTCAAGCAAATCCTTGTGAAACTTGGGGCCAAAGGATCAGCTCTGTTTATAGATGGAGAGAAACCCATTAAACAACCCATTATATCTGCTCCAAGAGTCCTTGATACAACTGGAGCTGGTGATACTTTCACTGCCGCTTTTGCTGTAGCACTCGTGGAGGGGAAGTCCAAACAGGAGTGTTTGACATTTGCCGGTATGCTTGTGGTACTTTTCTGGTTTTTCTATACATGTATGCTGTTTGTATGCATGAGTTCCTTGTAAATTCCTTGTAATTTTTAACAGCTGCAGCAGCCTCTCTTTGTGTCCAAGTGAAGGGAGCCATTCCAAGCATGCCAGATAAGAAATCAGTTTTGGATCTTCTTCAGTCACTTTGAGGATGTTTCTCTTTCTAGGTCAGCTCTTAATGCCTGTATAAAGGACAGAGGTGACCTTATTTTCTTTTTTTCTTTTTTGATCCTTAGGCACTGTTTAATGAATGATTATGTTTTTTCTTTTTCTTTTTCATTTTTAATGATTGAAGAAGAGATTCTGGCAGTACATTAAAATGGGTTATATCCGGTTTACACGCGAGATTGAACTACTCCATTTGCAGGGGGGTGCAATACACCTCTAGTGAATTATATGCATCTTTCCCACACTATACTTTCCTTACATGAAAAGCTACTAAAAGTGAGATGCTATAATGAGAATGTGTCCTTGTAAGATCTATTGGTGAAACAACATGTTTTCCTCTTGTAGATACATACCTGAATATAGAAAAATTGTTGATGAGAAGTTCGTACAGCTCGGTGAACCTTCACTTTTCCTATGAAATGAACTTGAGTTTGGTTGCCGGAATTAATAAATAGTTGGTCTAGGGCATTTAAGGCCTATCTGGTGCACAACTTCTAGAATTTAATTACCTAAGATGCATTTTAGAGGGCGGTGAAAATTTTGAGTACACAATTTTCTTTCGATCAATTTAATACTTTTGACTGAAAAAGAAAAGAAAAAAAAGCTTCTCATGTTTTGTTTCCTGAAAACATTTTTTGGGAATGGGACCAAAAAGATTTTTTATTGTATTTTTCGGAGAACAGTTTTTGTGAACAGAATTAAACGTATTTTCGACCATGTTTTCATTTTTTTGTTATCTCTTAGAATTAAAAACTATTTTGAAATCTGTACAAAGCAAGTCATTGATTCTTGTCAACTCACATAAAGCAATGGGCTTTTGCTAAAGTATGTTTCTTTTTTATGCTGCTCCGAACTTGGCCATGTTCTTGTATTCTTAACGTACTTATCTAAACGTCATCAGCTTTAACATTCTAAATAGTTCTGTAGTTAGGTTGAACTTGTGTAGCCTTTGAATTTGTTCCTTGTTGTTTTAGTTAAAATCATGAAAGAAAGAAATTGAAATAGACATTATTTTTTTCTCTCCTTTTGATACAGTTTTTGAATTGTACGGTAGATAACATGAAAATATTACCAAGTTTTCTAGCATTTGTAATTAGTCAATATATATATACACTTTCTATGTGGGATATACTAAAGGCATCGTGACCAATTCTAGCTTGGATTTTTTTAGGTATTGGGAGTAATTCAGAAATTTATATATTTTTGTAGGCTAATAATACGAAGATAGCTTAAAATGTTCTCCAGAGTAGAATATACAACACATGCTATGCTTGCAATTTACCCAAAAAAAATTATTTGGCTAATGTTATGCAGTAAAGTTGAAATATTAAAAAGTTATGCAGTGATTTGAAACCCTAGAACCACATGAGCATAATACAATTACCTTTTGAAAAGTCATGGTACACCCAGTAATAGTGTCACAATGATAATTTGATGACTGAAATGATTGTTGCTTTTGATAACAAATTTTGCTTCCACATCTTCCTTAGCTGCCATCATCAGATAAATCACAACCAATATTCACATTTAATTTTTGAGAGGGGGTCTAAAGCTTTTCCAAATTAATTAGATATGGTATAATTAAGTCACTTTGTATGTGAATAGTTAGGTTTGTCTCCAGACTTTCGTTTCTAAGACCCGTTTCTAAGACTATCTTGGAGATATGCCTATTTGAACATGAGGATATTGATACAGCAAAGGGAAAGAGGTACATGCAATATATGTATTATCCATTTAATAGCACAAGGATGACTTACATGAACAAGTAAATAAAATGGACTAAATGTTTATCCTTGACTTCCAACACTTACTGCCGTGGATGACGGTTGTAGAAGGCATCTAAAGCATAACTCTGGTTGTCTTATTAACCAAACTTGTCCCCCCCTCTTCTCCCACTAAAAAACAATCTTTTTGTTATTTGTATCAAAACCCATGCCACTCGGATCCTTCCTCTCTGTCTCTCTCTCTCTCCCTCTCCTTCTCTTGAAACACCTCTCTCTCACTCACACACACACACACACACCAACCACAACTTCCCCTCTCTCAGTCAGAATTGCAAGTTTCAGCAGAAGCTGCACAACTATGAATTACCATTCTCCTTTCCTCCTCGTCCTTCTACTGTCTCATCTATTTATGTATTCAGTTCTGGCCCTGAGAACATCTGAAGGTTCTCTCTCTATATTTGTGCGTGTTTGTTTGTGTATGTGTGAGAGATATATAGCTAATGTTCTAACTTGAAATGCTTGTTTTTAGATGCTGAGATTGACAAAGGAAGATCATCAACAATGAACTTTCAGAATAAGGTAAGCCTACTAATTATATTTCCACTATTTTTAGTATATTACATTTCTGATTGCTAGAGTTCTCTTGTTTTCCATCTATTTCAGTTCCTTCCTGTTGATCATGTTCAAAGGAAAGAGTTACATGAGGTTCATTCAGGACCCAATCCCATCAGTAATTCCTTCCCAAAACAGAAGTGGAAAACGATGTTACAAAGAAATCCATGACTCTCTCTCGGCATTTGTTTTCTTATACATTTGGAATTACAAATAAACAATACACAGTTTGTCAATCAAATACCATGCTACTGAGTGTATGGCCATCGTCATTTTCATCATCACAATGTTCTGTTTCTAGCTTTACAAAATAGTGACGAACCTGCATTAGAGTTGATGGGGGTCCTTGCGCCTCCCACCGACACATGTTTTGAGATTCACTTGTGCAACCTGTGTAATCCTTTCCAAGTGGTTAAACATGGTTGAGAATGGCCATTTCTTCAAACTTCTTAAAGTTTTGACAGTCAACATATACTTTTATTTTTCCTAACCTTTTTTCCCATTAATCATACACGCATTTTGTTAAACTTTTCCCAAAGCAAATAGTGTAAAATGTCCTTGAGAGCTACTTTTTACCAAAGACAATACCGAGCGTGTGGGAATAGGGGCCATAGGGCGATGTTTGAATGCTATGGTTGCATCATTTTTTGACTTGAACAACGGTGGTTGAACCAGTAGTGATGGTTGTAGCAACAATGGAGGGAGGAATGCTTTGAACAGCCACTCCATGATAGTTCAAACTATCATTTACATTTCTAATGGCTATTGAGGCAGTGTACATGGCTATCAAAGTGGGTGGTCAAAATGAATGACAAGTTCTTTCAAATGTTTGGAACTATTGTCTTGTGATTGATAAAGATTATATTGGTGGGCTCTTGTCATGGTTGTCAAATAATTGTTTGATGCTGTAATTGTTGTTGCTTTTGAGGATGTTCCAAGTGCTTTAGAGAAACCATGTCAAACTGAAATTGTGTGTATCTATGAAAAAAAACAGTCCAATAGGCAATAGGGTCCAAGTTGGGCCTCCTCAAATCTCAATAAATTGTGGTCAAATAATCAATAAAATCTAAACCATATTGTTATTAAAAAATAAATTGCAAAAAAGAAAAATGATAGTGATTTTTCAAAATTTTACGGTTAAACTCTCTAAACCACTGTCAAACTTTTTCAGACAATCCTCTATTTATTTTTAAATAATTACAACTAGCATTTCATTTTCATATCGTTGCTTCAAAAGCAATGTATAAAATTAACCTTTTTATTATTATGACCATTATAAATTGCATAGAGACTTCTCTACAAAGTACAAACAAGGAGTAAAATTAACAACAAAACCACCAGAAAGCTTTTTTACGGTTTTACCCGAGTTAAATAACCAAGTTCAAGACCTAACTATTAACTTACCCTCTTCGCTCTAGACTAGTCTAACTAGTTTAAAAGCTAGGCAAAAAGCACGTTTTGACAAGATTGCACCATCATTATTAAGTCGTTATTTTAGTGGTTATAGCTCCATATATTGCACCTAATTATTGTTTCTGTTCACAAGTTACTCCAAATCTTCTGAATTGTGCACAGAACTTCGACAGAGCATGGCAGTGAAATTTTTTGTTTATACATTTTAGACCTCAAAAGTTGAGATGTCAAAAGATTTTGACATCAAAATAGTTACTATAAGATCATTTTTTTTATAGATAATTTGATGGGTGATTGTGTATATCCGTAGAAATTAATCTAAAGTTTAAATAGATTCGTAACACATATGGACACAACCAAAAAGATAATAGAACTGAAGATTCATTTCATTTCGTCACATGCGTAATAGGTACCATGACTAAAATTGTAACAAAATAACTAAACTAACGTTAAAACATTTCTAATCCCTAAAAATGAACAAACCCAATTTCCTAGTTCATATCAAACAGAGTTATAGCTCTCGTAAACCACTCATTTAACACATTAATCTTGCTATTTCTTGTGCTCATCCCTAGCGACAATCTTGAACTTCCCTGTGTGTTGTTGCTGCAAACAAAACAAAACCCATTCGCAAAAACACATCAAAATACCATTTAATCACATCATATCACATCAAAAGAAAAGCTATATCCTATTGATCATATTACACACACATACTAGTATTAATAGTTTAGGTAGGTAATGAAATTAGTGTTTACCTTCTTCCACAGCTCAGTATGGGTTTTGCAGAAGCCAGCAACAATAGCCTCCTTGCTCCTTCCTTCCTTGTACTCAATACAGAGCTCTTCTTTCAACCCACAAGTCACGTGAAAGGCCATTTTACACTTGGGCTCAGAGCAATCGATCACACACCCATTTGCAGATTCGCACACATAACACCTCTGTTCCCACCTTGTTGGAGGAACCTTGGAACAATCGATCCCTTCCCGGCCTTCCGGGTCGCGAAAGAAGGCCTCCGGCATGAAGAGAGCACACACGACATGGGCCCACCGGCCGTCACCAGTGGGTTTCATGGCCCCACCAGTGACAGGGCAGAGGCAGCAAGAAAAGGGCTTACCTGTTTTAGGGTTTGATTGAGAAATCAAGCATTGGGTGCAAAACCAATCGCCCTCTGGAACACCATTTATGAGAGGATAACCATAACAGGTGGTGTGGACCATTAGATCACAACCATCACAGAACACAATTGGATCTGATGGGTCTCCGTCTGTGCTTTGACATATAGCACATTCGATCCCATCATCTTCTTCTTCTTCTTCGCTCTTTTCTGGGATTTCAATGCCGTGATTCACATTTTCAACATCATTTGCTTCTCGTGAATCACTTTTTGGTTCATCAAATGATGGCTTGTATTCGACATTGAGGTCGAAAGGAGAAATAGGGTTGTCAGAGATGAGGTCGGGTTGGAGAGCCCAAACCCTTTTCTTGGCTGGTAAGCAGTAGGTGGTGGTGGCGGCGGTGGTGGAGGAGAGAGATGGTGGTGGTAGATCCCGGGATTCTTTTCTCTTCTTTGCCGGAAGGCGCGATGAGGTCACAGTGTCATCCTGGTGTCCTCTTGCTTCTCCTTGTTGCATAAGTCTGAATCTTTTGAGAGGAGGTAGCCCATGAAACTCCATTCGAGGGTTGTGGAGAGAGCGAGGGACAGAGATTTGAAGTTTTTGGGAAAGTTTATGGAGGTTTGGAGCTTTGAATTAGACAAAAGTGGTGGTGGGAAGAAAACCCGGGAAGAAGAAAACTGGCTTATGACTTTCTAAACGTTTGAATTTAGCGGCAATTAAAAACAGTTGCCTCTCGTTTCAAAATTACAAGTTTTTGACTAAATGTGTTTGTTGTTCCCAAGTGCATTTCAAATTTTTGGATGTACATGTGGCCTGATGTTTGGGCCAATTTAGTTTGGGCTTATGTTTCAACCTTCTTCTTTTCCTTTTCTCAAACTTAAATAGGTTAAAAAAAAAAAAAATTTGATGGAAATTTAAAATAAATTCTAGTGATTGGAATGGCAAATATATATATATATATAGTATTCAAATTTTAAGTAATATTTGATAAGATTATGAAAAGTCTTGGAATTAGAAAGTTTTTATCCTATTGTGATAACATGACATGAAACTCAAACACAACAATTATCATCTCATCGATTTAATTCATTCAATGGCATATATCTTATTATTCATTCAAGAATTAGTGATTTCTAATTTTACCTGAAAAAAAAAAAAAAAAAAAAAAAAAAAAAAAAAAAAAAAAAAAAAACCGGAGCTCTACTCTCTCTATTCCCCCTTTCATCCTTTTCAAAATTTTCTATTCTTCAATGACTTGCGACTTAGGATTTTGAATGGAAGAATCATGTAGTTCAAGGAATTAGAGTTTTAAATGAATTAATTGAATCAATTAATCAAGGAGTTTAGAGTTTTGAAAAACAACAGTGTCGAAAGAGTTAAACAAAGCTCTTCTCAAAATCCTAAGTCGAACACTTGAAGAGGGTTTTCAAATTTGGGTCGAAAAGCTGCCATTGGCCTTATCGTACCTCGAATCCTCCATCACTCAAGGAAGGAATGAAGAGAGCACAGCCAACTTTAAAAAAAAAATAATGATCGTGTTTTGAAAGACCTAACTGCCCTAGCTCCAAATTCAGTCCCAAGTGAGAAGGATCATTCTGAACCACTTGGAAATGAAGCATTAAAGCTTTAAGATACCAAAAAGGTGTACCTCCAAAGTGCATCATTAGGTGAACTTTTCCCGTTGAAGAAGTTAAATGAGGGTTAAATTTGGCGATCACGCTACCTGGATCATGGATCAAGCATTATCATTACTAAATGAAGAAAATAAAACATGTTCATTTCCATAAGAAGGCTTCAAGACGAGGGGAGATTTGTGCGTCGAATTAACGGTAGTTTCGGAGTCAATTTTGAAAATCTAAAGAGTCGCAAGTGATAAGAGAGAGCCATGAGCAATTGCCCAATTCGCTTCGGAGCTCCATGAATTGTTTGGTATTTTCATTCTTTCTACTCTCTTGCCTTTCGATTGGTTCAAGTAGGAAGGAATGTTGTGACTTCTGAATCTTCTTCTGATATAACGCACCAGATTACAAAACAAAACCTTACTAATTCCTTCAATACTGTCGCTCTTCAAAACCCCAACTCCTTCTGAATCTTCTTCTGATATAACGCACCAGATTACAAAACAAAACCTTACTAATTCCTTCAATACTGTCGCTCTTCAAAACCCCAACTCCTTCATCAATTGATTCAATTATCTATTCAAAACCCTAACTCCTTGATCTCCCTCGACTTCCCTCTCTTACTCCATGATTCTTACATTCAAAATCCTTAATCGCAAGCAATCGAAGGATATTTTGTTTTCCCCGAAAGGTGAAATTAGAAATTAGCATCTCTTGAATGAAATCGACGTGAGCTAGGATGATGGTAATGAGAGAGAGTCGAGTATTTGTTGTGTCTGAATAACGTGTAGTGTGCAAGAGAGAGATTTCAGCATAGAATTAAAAATAATTTTGGATAAATATATCCAAAAGTTACATATAGTTAAGACACTAGTTCGATTAAAATGTTTGGGTAAATACATCGATAAAAACGTTTGGGTAAATAATAAACCCATCCAAAAGTTACATGTAGTTGAACAAGCATCCAAGAAATTAGTTTCCACTAAAATTTAGTCAGAAATAAACTTTAGATAACCCATCCCAACCCTCCAAAAACCGACTAATAATAGCTAGGCAGGTTTTTGTTCCTTCTAAATAAATGAATCAAGCTCAAAGCTAAATTTGAGTAATTTATTATCAATAATGATACCCCTTGGCTTTGATTAATTTATTAAGATCAAATTTAGAGAATGGCAATGAGAGAAATGCGAGAAGGGTGTGAGACCCCAATATGTCAGTTGTGGGACCCTCACCCCACACCGAAATCGGAAGACGTATTTTTATTCATTTATTAAACAAGCCGTGTGGTGGGAAGCTCACCCGCACAACGAAATCGGAAGATGAATTTTTATTCATTTATTAAACAAAGCCCAGCTTCAATCGAGACATAGTTAGCTGCATCTTGACTGACATGTTCTTTTACCCTAGGTTCTTTTTCATAATTATAGAGGTTGCAGTCTGATACTCACATTGACAAATATATAAAAATAATAATTCAATTATATAAAGTTAAAATAATAATAAATAAATAAATAATAGTTAACTCCTTGATGGCGACCACAACCTTCAGCTCAACTGCACACTAAACCAAATACAACCCGAATCAAAAATCTCTTCCAAACATTCTAAAAGCTAAATTCAAGTTTTAGAACCCTGGATGTAACTTGTAGATTTTACCCTCTTTATATTCCCTCAGAGAAATCTATTTATGGAAGCAATTTGCCACATTTCCTGCATAAGGTGAACTCCAGGATACATTAGTCAATTTGTCCTCATTTCAACAATAGAGGTATGGACCTTGTAGTCCTCACCATCAGCTTCACACCAGCACACGCACATACAAGAAAAAAAAACATGGTAATCCATAATAGAACTTCAGATCAAATTGATGAGACATCATGCTATCCATTCCGCGCACACAAACCTGCCAACAATAAAGCCAACTTATACCAAAGACGGCCTCTAAAGACATTTATTAAAAGAACTGAAGAGCTTCAAATCATTCCACTATTTGCCCAACCAAGTGTTGCAACGGCCATTAAAAGAGGGAGGTATTCATATGGTCAGCCAGAAACAAAGTACACATAGAAGCCTTACCAGTTACCAATTCAATTTCAGGAAGAAGAAGAAAGAGAGAGATTGCATTCCGGGTAATTAATTCTGGAAGACCAGGCTAGAATAAAGCTTTACACGTTCCAGTTCATGCATCAATTTTGTATGGCTGCCTGCTGCAATCACGTTTCAAAATTCAATTATTACTCTGATTAATCAACAGAGTTGGTACACATTTTGGTCAGATAGAACCAAATTAAACTCTTTACTAGGATTAGTTAGAAAACTATAGTATGTCAAGAATCAACCAGACCACATCAATAGTTTCAAAAGCCTATTCTGGGCAACATTGCATTTTAAGAATAAACCAGACCACATCAAGACAACAATTGAGGCAACATGGTAGTCTAGAAGGTCCTGCCACACCAAATATATCGAGAGATTATGACAATACAAGATCACATGTCAAAAAGCATTATGAACACCAAAAATGTAAACAAGATATTTTAATCAAATACTTGTAAGCTGTACTCCTAGTTTGGAGAGATGTATACAAAATACTAAGGCAGCCACACATCTTAAGGTGCTACAAAGCAATATATCAAGGCGGTATGATAATTGATAGATTAGGTACAAAAAGAACATAAAATAAATGAATTAGGAGTTAAGTCAAATGCCTACTAATCACCATAAGTAGACATAACTATATTTTGCTTATTCTGTTTTAAATCTTCCATATATTGGGATACCAAGAGAACAAAATATAAATAAACAAACAGGTAAACATAAATGAGTAAGTTTACAAACCTTGTGCAATTCAAATACTGGAGCACAGTGGCAAAAGTAGTTGGTTCTTGAAAGCACTTGGTTTGCTTACAACCTACAATCCAGAAGATCTAAATGTCAAAACGTTTATGAGCATCACAAGGACACTAGCCAAGACTGCATAGCTGAGAAAAACAAATACAATGAAATATAAATTTGGAATAACACGGTACAATCTCCAGAAGATAAGAAACATGGAAGAAAACTAATGAGGTTGGGCAACCAAATCAACATAAAATACAGCAAAACAATTTCTTTAGCAGTCTACCCAAGTAACTAAAACTCAACCACAGGTCCACAACTAAGAAGTTTGATATTTCACATAAAATACAAGTATTCAACTACAGAAAGCAATAAAAAATTAAGTTCTATCAATTAAAGTTGCTCCAAAAAATATCTAGCCAGCCATATCAAGTAGTTAGAGACATGATCACACTACAAACAATGTGCACATGCAAGCATAAATTTATCTACAGAAACAGCTCTATATTAAGTGAATGACACATGATAAGTGTGATAACAACATTAACCATTTAAAGGTATATCACAGAACAATCACAAGAACAGAAGTGGGCAGAAGCTCCTGATGAGATTTAAGTACCAGAATTTTCAAAAGTCTTAGACGTCCACTAATTTTTTCCAAATTATCTTGGGTGTAGAAACTATGCATACCAAATGATACCCATTAAATGAGAATAAAGGCACAAAATACGAAAAGGATCTCTTGTAATGGAAATGGACAACCAAATCAAGATAGAAAATAGCACAAAAGTTTAATTAAGACAATCACCTAAAAAAACCTTGACCCACTACTAGGACTTTGACCCTTCAATATTGTTGTCATTGCTAAAATTGCTCCAACAAATAACTGGCTACCTAGATGATAAAGCAGTCAGGCACTGCATGATAACAAATTTAAACACATAGAGTATGTCACTAATCACACATATGAGCAATGGGGCAGCAGAGGCTCTAAGCCACGTAGTAGATGAGATTTAACTGTGAAGTTTCTACCAAGTCCGCACACTAATTCATGGGTTTCAAAGTACCTTTGGAAAAAAGGCAATGCATATGAATTGACACCCAAGAAATGAGCAAAATCATACATTGTTAATTAAAAAAATAACACAGGCAGCATGTATATACACCGGAATTGTTACTCAGTACAGTGGTAAAAGCACGGATTGTCAAGCATGAGAACATGGGTTCAAATCCTGAGAGCAACAACTTTGTGCTATAATGCCAGAGGTTAGGTTCGTGTCAAGTCTATCCCCCTCAGCACCTCAGATTAGGGTAATTACCCGTTTTTTAGCATGTATATATGCTAAGCGAACACAATGAGTAATTCCCATTATTGGTAATTTAATTATATTGCAGTGAAAAATCTCAGGTACAGTACCAATAAAAAGAAGTGCAAAGAGTAAACATGACCATGCTTTACTTTACGGAAGTGAATTATTATAGTATATCCAATACACCCCAGATCAAAAAGAAATATCCTGGATTTTTAACTGGAGAGGGAAAGGACTTAATAACTACAATTATGTAGGAAAACACACTCAATCCTCAGCCCATACGGAAAGTGAATAAAACTGATTAAAGAAAGCTAATCCACCAAAAATCGTGATAAAATATCATATGCAAGCAGATGCACCTTAATTTAAGACTTCTACTTCCAACAACAACAACAACATAAAATAAATAAATAAATAATATTTGAGAAACCATCCAAATAACTGCAATCTTATAACAGCACATCCACACATATATAACCCAGGAATGTTACTAGTAAGAAGAAACTATGGTTATCACACATACCACTGCCTTAAACACAAAATCAAAAGAAATCTATCCAGCAATCATTATGAACAATGAAAGTTGCCATCAATCTGCTAGTCTGGAGACTTGTAAAAAATTGAAAGAGATTTTGAATTGGCACAACCAAGAGAAGAAAAACAAATGAAACAGGGTGATATATACAGAGTTGTGTCACTTACTTGAGAAACTCATCCTGCCACTCAATTGTAGAACATGTCTTGCCAATGGCCAACGTACACATGCAATGAATAAGATTCCCCCAATTCTTAGACTGCAGTACTTCAAAAGGAATAAGACTACTCTTTCTTGAAGACCAGCCGCATAACAGATCAGAAGAAGAGACAGCTTACACCGACAACAATTCACTAGTCCTATTGCTTTACTGCTGACGTCTTCCAACTGGAATCAGTACCTAATGCAGTGAAAAATTGCAAATGGTGACTCAGCCCTAGCACTACTACATGGGATGTCATTTCACTGGTGGGTGGATAGTTAAAACCAAATGGATAACAGTCACTTAGAAACCTAGTTGAAATTAATACCTGGGATTGAATGATAGGGATGACAAGTAGGAAACAACTGAGCCGTTCTTTTTACTCCTTGAACCAGAAAACATAGATACCAGACACCAGACATATACATTCACTTCTTAAACAAGTAGGGAGGGGAGGGGAGGGGGGGGGGGGGGGGGGGGGGGGGGGAGGGGAGGGACCCAGTTGGTTCTGAGCTAATAGAGAATTTAGAAGTCAAGATGGTGGACAGAGGCTTGAATGAATAAACAGGAGATACAACTATTCAGAAAGACCTTGACAATTCTATAAAGATTCCATAGAAACATAGAGCTCTTTCACTTTGAGGCAGAACTCCTACTTCTCACAACAGTCCTCGTGCAGAAGTACAGGATCCACAAGGTGAAAACAAAACATAATGCAAAGCTTGCAATTATAGTGTAATGCGGATTTTATATTGTCATATATACTTGTTTCTTAGTTCATGCTTAACTTTTTATCTAGAAAAATAATTCTATCCTAAAGGTAATTCTTACGCAGCATGCACCATCATGCTTGAATTTTTATCTAGAAAAATAGGTTCTATCCTAAAGGTAATTCTTACGCAACATCCAAAAACTCAAAATTTTAATACACCATAATGTAGACAAAAACTTGCCGCACTCACGAGTTTCACAGAAGTAATTACCTCACCAGTTCACCTAAAAATCCCATGATACAACTTTAGCCTCTATCCAGCAAAACCTTATTCCAAAACAACTTCCAAAGGCAAAAATCCACGACACAAGGGAAGAACGGAATGTAGTAACGTGTAAATAGATTCAGCATTACCATCAGCTGTCTAGTAGACATTGCAAGAATATACACACACACACTCTTCTTAGGCATACATTAACATATATCAGTCAGTAACACAAAAGAGGATGTGTGGCTTTAGCTAAAGTTGAATGGAAAAAAAACCCAAGTAGTTGAGAATTGAGACTAAAGCTTTGCTGGGTTGAGTTTATATATCACCTGTAAGGCCACTGACTTCTTTCCAGATGCTAGTATCTACAATCTGCATTTTACAACTAGGCTTTGATAACAAACAACATCATCTCCAGATCTCATCCTTTCCTAGAAGAAATAGAATGCCGTGTGCTTTCAACAGCATGATGACAAGTGACAATCCATGATAAAGTCTCAGTTGTTCAGATAAGTCCTTGTTGAATTGTATATCTTGCATTATCTTTGACCAACAAAAGAAATATACCATTATCACTCTACCATGATTTGTGAACCTACTATCACCTTATATACGAACTATATATTGACAACTTGGAGAGAATCTTTTTAAAAGGATGGTTCATCCCCAACCTCAGCAGAAAAACACCAGTCAAACCCCACAGAGAAGCATCAAAGGCTGAATTCCATATATGTTATTTCACTGTGGACCAGTAATTCTGTACTCTCATCCCATGACATCTAACTGAAGAAAAATAAATGAATTGCTTTCAATCATACCCTGAACATGCCAGCTTAAAAAATGAACTGATCATAACTTGAAATCTAGGAAACATTTTGTAAATTTCAATGAAGTGCTGTTACATATTTTTTTAGATTGTTTCATAATTTTTTATTTTATTTTTATGAGTTAGATTGTTTCATAACTTCCATGGTACTTGCAGATTAATGGATATAGAACACAGATCTATTTGGAGATGACTAGTATTAGGAACCCAAAAGCTAGTCTGACCCTAGCCAAATTTACTTTCCAATCATGGGAAGCAATAATAACTACTGGAAGAAAGAATTTGACTTACATTGATGGATTGACCAAAAGACAAGAATATTTGACTAGAAATCAAGATTTTTCTCCAATAGAAGCCAAATAATAAGTTTTGTGCCATATCCACAAATCTAAGAGTACTCCTTGAGGCTAGATAAAAATATATTAACAAATTGGACAGGAAAGCAAGCAGAGATAGAAGATTAACCTCATAAGGGAGCAGCAATTACAGCAGAAAACATCACGAGGGATCCGAATAAGGCTCTCAAGGAATGCTAAAGCAAACTACAAATTATATTAATTAGCAAGGAAAAACACCACAATTTCATGATCACAAAACTCAAATGCCCCACTTTATACAACCCAAACTCCAATCTAGCATTACCAGCACTGCACTTATTTGACAATGAAGAAATTTTACTGAAATAGCTGAGATAGTACTCTGCTGCACTATCCAGGATTGTAGAAGTGGACACTAAATTCGTGCACACACGTAAAGTGAAAGAAAACACGTCACTGAAAAGCAATTGAAGGTAGAAGAAGTTGGTGCGAATATAATATACCACAGCACCAACCTAATATAAACTGTCAAAAGTTGAAGTTGGAACTACAATTCTCCAAATTAATCAAGCATATTGTTCAAAACATCAATCATGAGACAACACTTCAAATCTAAAGCATCAACTATGTTGCAGCCGAAACAACCACATCACAACCAAAATAAGAGAATATAGCTTTAGCCTAGCAGGCATACTAGTCTATCTGTGTCCTTGAGCTTGCTGCATGGAATAAGCACCCCAAGAGCCAGGTCCAGGTCCAGGTCCATATTGAGGAAAGTTTTCTGCACCAGCCTGTACCTGAGGCACGAAGAAGAGAATAAGACAATCAATGTCTCCAAAAGAAGAAACTATACCAATTTGAACCTAACACAAAACATACAGCTATGGAAGGTGTGTATTGATTGAAAACATCTGATAGGAAGCCAGAGAAAGCTTACAGGATTCATTGGATTCATGCCATAACTGGAAGGATAAGGATTTCCTGCATATCCAGCTTCAGGATTGCCATAATTTCCATCATAACCTGCAATTGCAGAAACAAAATCAACATAGAACTTATTACTGATGAAATAAAACTCCAGTGAGGGGAAATAAATATGATTAATGTAATAAACGCATTTATTAGAAAGTAAGGAAACCAGCTCTCCAGTTGAACTGGACCATCACACAATCAACTGAACCCCAAGCCAGGATGGAGAAACCTCAAGTAGTTTGGGCTTAAGCTATTGAGAACCAGTGATGGAACCAGCCTAGACATGCAGTTCTCATTTTGTACCAATTACTCAGGTATTCTCTTTTAGTCCATAATAAATCTAGAGGATGAATTGACTCAGTTGAACAGTTACCCATTTTTGAACTAGCACCACCAGTTCTAATTTAAAAAAACATGTGCTTGTGGTTAAGGAGACACAGTGCAACACTCACTGAATACAGCTCAAACTATTAAGATAAGGCAATCAAAGAATAACAAGTACACGTTGGAAGCATGGTTTTTGCTTGAAAAAATGCTACAAAATAAAAGTTTTCAAGAGCTTCAGCTTGTTTTCTGAGTTTCACATCAAATGAAGGGAACTAATATACTTCTTCTGCTATGGAGTTGCCCAAGTATCTTTCACCTCTCTGCCTGAAATATATCGAAATTGCTATAGTAACTCTAAGCTTGAAAGTTTTGCTTACAACCTTAGTATTTCTGTAGCCATAATGAAGTCCACATGGAAAATCTGTTCCTTTCAATGAATTCATGAAAGCAATTACTTCCAAGTATGGGATAGACTAGTTGCTAATGAAATATTCCACATCAAACCTTTAAATTTCATAAATCCTACATTTTTTTTTCTTGACAAGTATAAACTCATAAATCCTACATCATTTGATGGCAAATTAAGTTTTATACTAAACTTTGAACAATGAAGTTCACTTGATCTCGGATGATAAAGCCTTGTGCTACCAAAGAAAAACTGTTAAATGAGAGAAGTTATTGGAAGATATAATGAAAAAATTAAAAAAGAAAAAGAAAAAGAAAAACTACTCCCTTTGTCCCATATTAATAGTCCATCTTCCCTTTTATGGATGTCTCAAATTAGTTGTCCCATTTGAAAAGTCAAAGCAAAAAATATTCTATCTTTTCATAATTACCCTTTAAGTTTTTAAAAATTTTCCAATTTGATAATATATAAATATATATATATATATTTAAACTTAAAAGGACAACTTAGTAATTTTAAATGGGACAAAGCAATAATTGCATGTTCCCTTAAAAACTTATAATACCAAAGATGGACAACTAAAATGGGACGGAGTGAGTAAAATATGTGCAATGCCAAACTGCGTAAGCCAATATGGATGAAAATATTTGACAGATGAGAGAAAACAAGATTAAAGTTAAAATATTGGGCAATCAAGATACATCATGTGTGCAAGTCATGCAGTCAAGAGGCAATTTCCAAAAGGAGTTCCTTCAGCTCAGATTTTAGTTGCAGTTTTTTTCTCCCCTGCTTAATAGAATAAGAGGTCTTTCCTGTCTGTTGTATGGGACTACTGTTCAGTTGTCTGGTTGGAGTTGTATTTTTCAGGATTAAGATTCAAGACTGCTTTCACTTTGTATTATTCATTGTTACAGAATTCTCATCATTAAATACGTGTTTGCTCTCCATCATTTTCTAACTAGAAAGAAATATCGCCTCCTTTAAAGAGCCCAGCTACTATGAGCATGCTGAGGTAAATATGGACTGAATTTAGGTTATGATTAAAGTAACATGTTTGAGGACAGCTAAAGTGGTAGCACTAATTGGTTAAAAGAGTTGATAAAGGTGATCAGGTAATGGTAAATGCATCTGGTGACTAACCCAGTAAGAATAATGGCTGGAGCACCCAACTTATTAAGTCAATTAGAAAAGCGCACACTTTTAAAGTCAATGAGAAGAGGTGAAGTCTTTCCTTCCTTTTGTTTGGTTAAGTAGGAAGAGGAGAACTATGGAATGAAAGGAAAGTTGAATGCTTTATCCATTGTAGCCCACAGATTAAAGGGTATTTTTTGACGGCAGAGAGAGAGAGAGAGAGAGAGAGAGAATGAGGCTATGAACCCTCACCATTCTTATTTTCCATGTTTGTGAGGAAGGACTCGGTGCACCTGGAAGGAAAAGCCCCACGCCTCTCTTCCTACCTTTGATGTAGACTGTAGTTCATAAGGCACTCAGGAATTTTTTTTGAAGTACTGAGAAACTTCAAAATTAACTAAATCTCCAGCCTAGACTCATTTGGACCACTTGGAATTTAGTTTTAGCCTTTCAGTTAGAATCAAGTTTTAGGTTGTTTTATGTCTTATTTTTGCTCTCTTTACTTTAATTTGTTGTTGGTATGGTTTATTTAAAATTCACCATATTTCAAGAGTTAAGGGAATTATAATTTTCATATGTACTAGATATGGAGTGTAGTACTGGGCCATTGGTCGTAGTTTAGATCAAGTTGCTTTTCAAGCCTTTTATATTGTCTTTGGTTAAAAGCCCAGCAATCTAAAAATGCCTATGAGCACTTTCAAGTTCAACAAAGATTAGTTAGAAAATTTTCCATAGCGTTTGAAGCCTCACAACCCAAGCCTTAGGTGTGATGACAGATGCTTCAAGAATTTTAGCAGGTTTTTGAGATTCTTTCTTCTCTTCTTCTTTCTTTATTTTTTTATATTTTGATATACTCGTTCCACTACTTTAATAAGGCCAATTCCCCTCATCAAATATTCAATGCTAACAACCATACCAAATTGATGTAGGACAAAATAGGACTGTTTTGATACAAATTTCGAACCAGAATGAAGGAAGGGGATGAGAATGAGAAGAGGCTAGAAGGAGGTGAGAATATAGGCGGAAGGGGCGAGAAGACAGATTGAAAAGAAAGGCTAAAGAGACCGAGGGACTAAGAAGACCAAGAACAACGTGGAAGAAAAAGACACAGAGAGTTCTCAAACTCATGAATCACGATAATATTTCAATAATCAAAAGCTGAATTGCTTAGTTACATAGAAGCCTTTATAGAGGCAAAATCATAACCAAACCCTAAAAATCCTAATATAATAAAGTACTAAAATATTCATAAAATTAGAACACTAGCAAAATAATAAAAACAAATAAAAATCAACCCTAATTGCATCAAATCCTTAATTTCATATATCTTTGCCTCTTCTCCAAAAGTAATGGTGAATCACGTGCAACTCATATGTAAGAATCATAACTCGTTCTCAAACCACAATGATCCAAAGTAACTTTTTAAGGGTTACTGTTTGTGGCACAGGATTAGATCCCCAAAACTCTACTTAATGGAGCCCTAATTGACCAATACCCTTTCCAATACCTTTTGGCATTCAATTTTACACCTAAACTATATCATAGTTGCTGTCCAGAAACTCCGGCAGTATTTTCACTGAATCTGATGCAACCTACCGTCTTCAACACCTAGCCAATTTCAGCCCTTTCTCAATCGTAAAGCAATAATCTTTCTTCCACATTATAAAGCCCTAAAAATATACAAACTTTTTATAATCCTAAAACAGCAAATAATCAATAATAAGCACTGGCTTACATCGATTCTGGTACGCTCATCCTCGATTCCGGTAGCTCGAGGTCCTGTACTTCTAGGTGAGCTCAAACTTAGGATTGATTGCGATTCTCACGGGAAATAAGGTCAAACATTTTTAATAAGTGACCATGGAGGACTAACCTCTTATGTCACTCTTTTTTAAATAAAAAATAAACTTGGTAAACTCTTGTGCCTTCTGGTTCTCAAACATTCACATTGAAGATTGGTTATAGGTAAAGTGCCACGGGCTTCAAGAGGGCAGACTATAGGAAGAAAATCTGCCCAGTGAGCGGAAGGAAAGCAATCTTCCTTCAAACTCATTTCTTACTTTGCCTGTTTTCAATAATAATCTGACTCGGGTGACTTTCATGCATAAAATAGGGGCTCTGGCTCTTAAAGATCTTAGGATTTTCCTTTTTGGTTGAGTTTCTGGGTGATGTTTTGTGTTTTTGCTCACCTCTTCTTCTTCCCACAATTTCTAAGTTCTAACAGCAGCCTCTTTTTGAAGAAGAAAACCTCCTTCCCTTGTGTAATTGTATTTTTACATTCTTTTAACTATAAAATGTCTATTCATTTAAAATGGAGGGGGAGAAATCTAAAGCAATCTAAAACAACTCCTTGAATTCTGCAAGTTGATATTTGATAAACCTTGAAGCAACACATACCCGGATTCCCAACAGCTGCAGCAGCACGTGCTCTTTTTTCTGCATTAGCCATCTCTGCACGAAGTTTTTCCAACTCCCGTGCCATTGAGACCAAGTTCTTCTCCATCATTTGACCATGCTCATAGTTCTCTGCATATCCCTTCTTCTCATACTCAATGGCAGCCCTATAAACCAACAAAATAGTAGAATGTGAATCACAAGTCAGAAAGCCGAGCTTAACTATAAAGCTAGACACAATATTACCTTGCTCGCTGCAGCTCCTGTTTCAGACCGTCAATTTCTGCCTTTAGGGCTGGAACCTGTTGCAAATCAGCAGTAGCTCTGGTCAAATCCTGAGTCATTGCTTGGACCTGAGCTGTAAGCTCTTGCCTAGAGGCAGTTAACTCCTTAACATCAGCATGAACTTGCTGAAGTTCAGCCTTCATAGCCTCTGCGCCACGAATATCCATTTCCATTTTAACAGACTTCTCATACATTTCCCTCGTCTGCATATCCCTCTCCGCATGTAACGAACTGGCAAAGTGAGCCGTTTGTTGAAGCTCATGCTGGACAGCTTCTACTTCCTGTTTAAGTGCCACGTGAGTTGCAGCCAGTCGCTGATTATCAACCAAAAGCACTTGAATATCCTGATGCTGAGCTGCAAGTCGCTCCTCAATTATAGCAGGGTGAGGAGGGAGTTGTCCAGAGCTCATTCTGAATTGTGATTCCCTCATTTCTTCAAGCAGTGCAGGGTGGGGCATTGGGCCGAGACCTCTGCCAAAGGGAGCTTCATGAATTGAGGGTAGTCCAGCATGTGGAACGCCTTTCATTGGAAATGGCGGCCCACGATTTCTTCCAGACATGTTTCCTTCAAAAATTCAATAATAGAAAAGGAATTGAGAGTTAAGAGTTGATGGAGAAACTTCCCCAATCAAGACAAGACACCCACAGAAAATCCAAGAACTAAAAACAAAAATTACAAAACAAAAGTGAAGTTAAAAACTAAAATCCCTTAAACAATAAATGCATTGAACGTAAAAAGTATGATTCTTGAGAATTAACGATACAATTCAACAAATGAAGCTGTATGTGTACAATCAATGAAAACAAAAATATACAGGTTCGAATAACAGGAAAGCAAAGAGAGAAACCCAGAACATCAAATCAATCAAATCCTGAAATAGAATTAAAGAAACAAATACCCAACACTAAAAAATGCAATTCTTAGTAATAATAATATTAATAAATAAAAATAAAAAAAATAAAAAAATCTCTTTTTATTACAGCCCAAGACTATAAACAATCCAACAAGAATGAAAAAATTTACCGATACGAATGCTTGATATAACTTGGCAGATAGTACCCGAGGGCCGACGTTAAGATATCAATGTGCGCGCGTGCGTGTAAATGCACACACAATCGATGAACCCGATGAACATGAACATACAATGAACGTATAATCGAAAACCTTAAAGGAAACAAGAACTGAGAGATGGGTTGAGTCTTGAGTGACCAATAAGGCAATAACCTAAACCCTGGAACGTGAAAATAATAATAACAACAACAATAATAATAACAATAACAATAATAAATCTTAGGGTTGAAGAGAAGATCGGTTTCAGGTATTACTGACACAAACCCTAGACAAGTTTTTCATTCAATTCACTGACCTTTCTAATCTTGAAGCTTCAAAACAGAGAGAGAGAGAGCGCTCCTTCAAACTCGGATGAATTCTTCGCATATAAGAGTTAAAAAACAACGCAAAATTATACGGTATGAGAACTTGGTTCGTTTTTATATCCAATCCGTTATGTTCCTAGGTTGGGTTCGGCTCTGCTGGGCTGGGCTACTCTGAGTTAGGCTGGTCTGATCTGGGCTGGATTCGGCTGCACTTAAATTGAAACATTAAGGTTGGATTTCAACAGATCTATAGGATTGGATGGTCTTAATTTATAATATAAAAGAAGCAAGGTTATATTCGCACACCGCTTTTAAACTATTACACTTCAATCTTTAAAAAAAAATGTCACCTTTAACCTTAATTTAAAAAATTATTAATTATTTTTCTCAAATTTCACAATTATTGTTTTCAGTTATGGTATGATGTTTTTGTCTCCCCCTCTTTTCCAATTAAGTTTTTTGGTATCTTGAATTTATTTTTTTTTTGTTAACCCATTTTTTTCTCTTGCGCCTTCCTAAATTATTTCTCTATTTTCTATTAACTTTCTCTTCTCTCTTACTAGGATAAGAAGTAAAAGAGTTGAACGAAGTAATTGACCTTGTTAACATAAAAAAAATATTAAATAACTATTAAAATTTCATAAACCATTAATGCTAATGGTGATCGAATGGTAATTCATTTCTTTTATATTTTTTTTTCAGTTTGATGATTTTTTTTTTCCCTTTTAAGAATTAATTTGGATGATAATAGGAATGGTTTTTTTTTAAAATTTGGAATTTATTTGAATATTTAAGTTTACCTTGTTGACAAATAAAGTCCTAACTCTTTTGACATCATTTCCGTTTAATAAATTTCTTCATCTTAATAAATATGACTGATTTTAACATTGACCATCATCATAATAATTTCAGTTGAATAAATTTTATTTTGCTCGAAAAAAATAATAATAAAGAAAGTAAATAAGGTAAAAAAATTAAAAAGTTTATAGGAAAAGGGTATATATGGTATTATAAAGTAAAAGATGACGCCCCTCTAATGACCTTTTTGACATTTCTTTTTAAAAAAAAAAAAAAGAATAAAAAAAGAATAATGAAGTGCAATTGTACAAAAGAACTCCTACGATAAGAATTGGACATAAAGACTACAGAGTAATGAAATAATTGGTAGAAGATAGGAGCCTAAGTATTAGGATAGTATGTATTTATGCTAGTGACTCGTGTTTCTTGGTCGACCGTTAGACGTTTGTATTATATTCTACGAGTAGGTATCGAATATCTTATTGTACTCGAAAAAATAATACCTTACATGAATAAACGTTATATTCTATTCTACACGTGTTATGCATAAATGTTTCACATATACAGAAATTGTAATGTTGTATGCAATGTGTACACAAACTACATAATCTTTCTACTCCACACATTCACGCCTTACATAATCTTTGTGGAGATTTACTTATATAACCATCTAAATGTCCATCAGTGAAAAATAAAAATTATTAAATAATATAATGTGACCAGCCTAGAGTTTCCTCGCATTTTGATTAATATGCTATTGGTTATAGAAATCTCTCCTAAATATTTACACATGTTCAAAACAGTATAAAATTATACAGTCTACTAACTTCTACCCCCACCCTAGTCCCTACTCCTAAATATTTTCACCAACTGTAAAAAATTATATACTCCACTAACTTCTATCCCACCCTAGCTACTATAATTCTCCGATCCGATCTATACTACCAATTTGTACCCTACTCTACAATAATTCTCCAATCCTCTCTATGAAACTACCATAATTTCCAACTCTATAATTCAACTCTGCTAATTTGTACCCAACCCTACAAAAATTCTCTAATCCTCTCCATAATACTACCACAATTTCCAACTTTTCAATTCAACTCTGCTAATGCGTGATGCTTGCTCCTTGCAAATAAATAAGAGATGACAAATAAATTTTTTAGTGGCTCAATTCAATAAAAACTCATTCAAATTTTTTTATAACAACTTATTGGCTCAATTCAATAAAAACTCATTCAAATTTCTTTATTATATTTTTCTTTTTTGTGGTTCAAGATCATCAAATAATTTTCCGTGATAAAACAAGGTAAAAATTTACTAGTATATCCTAATCATTGCCTGCAAATACTTTATTGTGCATACCAACATATTATGAGTCTTTTTTATATATAAGAAAAAGATATGTTTGAAAATTAAAAATAAATTACTATTGATCAAAATTAAGAAATGGGAATGGGAAATGAGAGCATGGATGTACATTAAAATTTAATGTAAAGTTGAAAAATCATATATATAATAAATATGATGTTATATAAACAAACACAAACGTGTACTTACAAATTTTTTTTCTCACTTCTAGATTTTAGACTTTTATTCTTCATGTTGGGAAAATAAATAAAATTATAAAACTTGATTAAATTTTGTATTCAATTAACATGTTTATGACAAATTTATCAAAACAATTAGTTCAAATACATAGTGTCTACTATAGAGCAAGAAAATTTGATTTGAAAGAATGCACAATGGAGTGGATTATTAAGTTATTTTATTTATTTATTTTTATTTAAGGTGTTTATAGGTCTTTTAAAACACCCATCATTCACTAATCACTATTGAACACACATTTCTCCCCCTTCATGGTTCCTTTTGAAAAAGTTACATCATTTTATTTTTTATTTTGTGATGTTACCTTAAAAAGACTCGCGAAGAAATCAATTGCCATGAAAAATCATATTTTAAGAAAATATAGATGAATGACTCCTCATAAGTTATTTTTTATTTTTTTATTTTTCACGTAATATATTTTGCATAATAATTATGAAAAGACTTGAATTCTACCTACACCTTCGATTTCAAAGGAGAAGAAATTTCAAACAATGGTTTTATAAGGAAAAGAATACGATATATAAAGTATAGACATGGCTTGTGGTATAAATTATATATATATATATATATATATATATATATATATATATATATACCCACACAAAATGCTCCCAGGTGATATATAATAATATAACAAATTTACAAAAATTAACCCTAAAATAATAATAATAACAATAATAAAATAATTTGTGACAAATTGTGTTGGATTGATAAATTAGACTATTTATATTTATTACTTACTTTTGCTATATATATAATCTGTACTTTTTTTTTCCCTGACGGTAAAATGTAAATTTGAAATTTAATTACTCTCTCTTTTGTAGGATGTAAGCATTCACACTAAATGATTATACATTATTTTTTTACATGAAAATAAAACAATATATATTACTAAGATAGTATTTCTTGAGAAATAAGAGTGGAGTAATTTTTTTTATTTTTTTTCAAAAGTAAGTAAATGTCATTTCATTTTAATGCAAAAGTAAATTATTTTAATTTTTATAATGAAATGACATGCATGTTATTAAATACTAGTAAATTATATGCCAATTAATTAATTAATTATTATTATTATTATTTTTTTTTTTTTTTGTGTGTGTAAAATAATTCTCCTTCGAAAGCATCAATTGGTAAGGATTATGCAAGCAGTGATGAAAGCCAGCCTCTCTACTTGTGACGGCCCAAGTTTTTGTAAACTCGGTGCGTCAGTAATGACCAAAAGATGACCAGATAATGGATCCGAAATGCGGAAGCGAAAGGTGAAATAACGGTCTCTAGAGATATAATGCGTCTCTAAGACATCAATGTGACCCTCAATGAGGTCACGGAATCCAAAGGAAACAAATGCAAAAGTGTCGTTTCAAAAACGGACAAAAAGAACCTAGGGGCAAAATGGTCATTTTGCAAAAAGTGGATTAAGGTGCTATCGAGCACACCACTGAAAAAACAATGACAAATTAGTTAAGTTCAAAAAAAAGTTTACTCAATTTGGAGTCCGGACGGGAGCAAAAGGTCAAAAACAAAAATGATGTCGTAGCGGCCCGACGAGGACAACCCACCATTACTACAACTGAGAGTAAAAACGGGCATCTAAACGGACTTTTTTGGAAAAACTCAAAGAAGAAATCTCCCCTAAAATCAAGTTTCCTACCCCGAGCGTGGATGGAAACAAAAAAAAAAAAAAATGCATTGTAAAATGCCTAGAATGCCCCCAAGAAAATCAAGTCAAGAGGAAAAAAACGAATCCGAGCTACTGTCCAAGTTTTGGAAATAGGGCTTCAGGAGGTTTTTAAATTGCCTAAATTGAAAATCCAATCTTAAAATACACCCACAAGACCTCCGGAAGTTTTGGATCGGTCGTGACAATTTTCAAAAAAAAGTCGATAAATAGTACCAACTACATTTGTACTAAAAATTTGAAAAACCTGGCAGCAAGGATTTTCTGGAAAAATATGGATTTTTGAGGGCCAAGATGATGTTTTCTGAAAAAACACAAAAAAGAAACCTCCCTCAAAATCAAGTTTTCTACGTGACTTTTGAGGAAAAATGAAAAAAAAAAAAACTCATTGTGAAATACCCGAAATACCCCTGTAACAAAATAGGGTCAAAACTAAAAAATATGCAACTTTAGGTTTTTGTTTCATCAAGGAAGGTATTGTTTGCCAAAGTGAGTATGCAAGTGTATGCAATATGATAAAATAGATGTACCAACATGGCCTAAATCCTCTTTACATTCCATTAACAAGTTTAGCATACAAAGCCTACATTTCTCACAAATAAGTTACAATGGCAATACTTGAGTTTTAAAGAGAACATGCTTGTAATCTTTCATGTTAATGGCTCTTGGCCTCATGCTATACATATAAAACAAGTATCAAAAAGAGTACTTAGATACACATTACATGAAGGAAGCCATCTTAGCTTCTAAAATACCATACATCCATGGTATACAAAAATATTACATCCAAAAGATAAAACATGCTAAACAAGTGCATGCTAATATACAAAAATGCTTCAACTAGCTCAAAAGCTTCTAAGGATGATGAGCATCCATGAACATGATCTCTTTACATAAAAAACAACCCAAACCACTAGGGTGAGTAATCAAGTTACTTGTAGAAGAAGCATATGCGTATACCCTAAAATTTTAATGTCATTGCGTGTAATACCCCCGGATTTCCAGATGCGGG